GTACTTTTCAGCCATGGATGAACGTGATGGCTTCTTTTCTCAGCTTCAGCTTTCAGGGTTATCCTGAACTGCCTCGCCAAGTGAGGCCTGTGTGTGTCCCTGTGTGCTGGAGGAAGGACACTGTGCTATCCGCATCTTGATCTTGGGCTGAACAAAACCACCGTTGGGAATGTGTTCCTTGGCTTCGTTTCCTTCCCCTATGGCACTGACCTGACCGTCCTGTCCACTCTTTGGATCCTTTATCTCCCTCTTCCCCTCAAGGCACTTGGTCCTTTTCTTCCTCCTCCTCCTGCTCCTGCTCCTGCTCCTGCTCCTGCTCCTGCTCCTGCTCCTGCTCCTCCTCCTGCTCCTCACCCTAGTGTCTCGCCCCCAGCCCTCTCAGTCCCACTCTTCTCAAATTGACGTCTAACTGACTGACAAGGTTTTCTTTTGCCTTCTTGCCTGCCTGCCTGCCTGCCTGCCTGCCTGCCTGCCTGCCTGCCTGCCTGCCTGCCTGCCTCCCTCCCTCCCTCCCTCCCTCCCTTCCTTCCTTCCTTCTTTCCTTCTTTTGGTTTTGTTGCTGTTGCTGTTCCCCCATTAATTTCCAGGTGTACAGACGATGTTTCAGTGTAGCGCAGGAAGGACACAGCGATCACCAGGATACATCTCGTGAGTGACTGTCCGTCACCACTCGGTGTCACGGCAGATGGCATTTGGTGTCATGACGTGCCCGTGACTCATTGATTTCATCCGTGGAAGGCTGCACCGCTTCGTCTGTCTCCGTCACCAGTGGCACTCACTCATTCTCTCCCCCTCCCCACCCACCCCCGCCACCGTGTCACCCCCCTCCCTCCTCTGGCCACCACCCATGTGTTTCTTTGTGGTATCTATGAGCCTGCTTCTGATTTGTTCTGTTCTGTTCACGGTGTATCCTTTGGTAGATTCTGCATGGAAACGACTGATCTGAGGTGCTTCATTTAGCATGATAGCCTTTCTAAAGATCTCTCCAAGTCCCTGCAGACTGTGAGATTTCATTCCCTTCTGGTGGTTGAGTCCCATTTGTGTGTGTGTGTGGGGGGGTGGTGGTGGGTGGGTGGGTGGGTGGGTGGGCGTGGTGTGGGTGGGGGTGTGTTTGCATGCGCGTGCGCACACGCGCACCTGAATAGATACAGGTGTGGGCACACAGACGGAGAGTTCTATCATTCTGTTTGTACGGATGTCTACCTGGGTATAGGTGTCGATACCACACATACACACGCGCATATCTTCTTGGTCCCCTCCGTAGGCACTCCGTGGAGTTGCCAGGTTGGGTCGGATGGGGAATCTTTGGTGGAGTGTCCTGAGGGATCCCAGGACTCGTTTCCCTAGTGATGGGGTTTCTCTCTCTGTGAGGTGCCAGGGGATGAGCTCTGATATCTCTGAGTCCGCCAACACTTTTCTCAGCTGCAGGAAAGACGCATTCCCTCGATCAGGAGCCACTGTCTTCTGATGTTTCGAACTTGCTGTCGCGATTGCGAGTCCAGCTCCTGGGCCTTTCCCCTCCAAGTTATCATTGTCCAGATAAACGCCCCGGGGTGCTTCCCTGAGCCCGCCCCCACCCCCAGCAACCCCAGCCCAGCCCAGCCCAGCCCCGCCATTGATTTGTTTCCTACCTTGTGCTTCTTGAGTGTCTGTCTGTTCTACCTTTATTTTGAATGAAGCTGTCTGTTCGGGCCTCCTGCCGACCTCGCTCATCGGGGATTGTTTCTCTTTTGGAGGTTCAGTTGTCTGACGCCTTGATCAGTTTTGGACGGAAAATCCCCTTTGGCCATATGCTTGCGCTTTCCTGGTATGCGCGCACGCACACACGCACACACACACACACGGATGTGTGTTTCTGCCTGTGTACGTACGTGTAGGTCTGTGTGTGTGTATATGTACATATACACATATATATGTACATATCTACGCCTATATGTATATACACACGCGCGCGCGGAGACATCTACACAGACACATGCGTATGTATGCACATAGGTACACGTACACTGACCAATACGTACGTGTATGTATACATACGCGCGCACACACATGCACACGCGCGTATGCACATGCGCGTGTGTGTGCGCATCCATGCACATCAATCTGTGTATATGCACTGTATACACACACTTGCAACTGTACATACGTACATGCGTATATATACACATATACAGCCGTACGTCTGTGTGGACGTATATACGCTATATGTAGACGTCTAGGCGTGCGTACATATGTATGTATACGCGTGTACGTACACGTGTGCATATACACAGGCGGATATGTGTGCATATGTAAGCATGCACGTCCGTGTCCGCATATACGCGCACACACACCTGTGCGTATACACCACACGTACACACACGTGTGCATCTATATGCGTTTACACGCCCGTGTTTGTTTAAATGTAGGTATGTATATCTACGTATAGGCACATATGAGCATGTGCATTCATGCGCGTGCATATCCGTGTACGTGTGTGTATAGATAGATGCCTGTGCATGCGTATATACACGCAAGCAACCATGCACACTATAAACGCCTAGGCATATACGTGCACACACAGACACATGCGCGTACGTGAGCATGCATGCCCTTCGTACGGACTTGTTTAGACGCATGTGTGCACGTATATATAGATGCCAATATGTGTCCGTATACATACGTACATGCGTATATGCACATGTGCGCTCTCTCTCTCTCTCTCTCTTTCTCTGTCTCTGCCTCTGTCTCTCTCTGTCTCTCTCTCTCTCTCTCCCCCTCCCTCCCTCCCTCCCTCTGACTTTTAAGCTGCCAGAGCAGTTCTATGACTTGACTTTCCTGCCTGGTGGTTTTGTTTCATTTCGTTTAGGTGCTACTTCAGAAAGTTATGTCTTCATTGACTTGGCTGTTGTCATGGAATCCGGGGTTTATTTAGTGGATCCCTATTGACTCGGTCCTCCCCACCGCGCCCCTCCCTCAACCCCACCCCCCGCAGCCCTGCCACCCGAGACCGCCCGGCCGCCCGCCTTTCCGGTGTTTGTGGCCAGTGATCTTGAAATCCATGTTCTCCTGACCTCAAGTGCACTTTCCCCACCCACCCGCGCATGCTTGTGTTTGTTGTCTTTGGACTTGGTCACGGTCTCTACCCAGGTTGAGTTTTGTTTCCTCTTGTTGGGGGTCCGAGTGTCTCCTTCGTTTCCTTTCTTGCTCCTGGGCTTGCGTGTCTGTGTCTGTGTCTGTGTCTGCTTTCGAAAGTCCTGCTTTGTTCTCCGAGCAGCGCTTGCCTGGTTTCGCTTTGCCGGTCGGTCCCTCTCTCCCTCCCTCCCTCCCTCCCTCCCTCCCTCCTTCCTCCCCTCCCTCCCTCTTTTGGGGGGAGGGGGTCCGGGGGAGCCCGGGATGTCACTGCTGCCCCTCTCTCGGCCCCCAGGCCCCCGCCGCCGGCGTCTCCGTGGAACGTCCCCCCACCACCCTGGAATCGCGCGTGTGTGTGTGTGTGGGGGGGGGGGGGGGGAGCGCGTCTCCTTCGGGGCAGCCTCCTGAGGAGATAGTTCCCAGCTCCTCTCCCTTCCTCTGCGGCCGGGGTCGCGTCGCGTCGTGTGGCTCGGAGGCGGAGGAGGCTCCGGGCCGAGCTCGGGCGTTTGGGAGGCCGGCGCGGTGGCGTCCTCGGCGCCCGGCGACAGCGACCCGTCCTCGGGACGGTCGAGCCGTTTGTCAGGAGCCACCTGGCGGCCGCTTCTATATTGTCCCTCCCCCTCCGGAGCTTCGGCGAGGCCTTCAGGAGGATTGTGACTCAGCCACCGGGCCCGAGGCAGAGCTCTCAGAGACCGGCTACGCTGGCGGTGACAGTCCCGGGGACACCGAGGCCTGGGGACGTCCTGCTGTCTGCGGAGATTGGTTCTCTAGGCTTCTGGGGAGGGTGACTGTCGCGGCGCTCCAGATCGGGGCTCTGGGGCGGCCTGGCCGGGTCGACCAGCATCTCCCCGTGCCCCTCCGGCCGTGGAGACGGACCGGCCGGACCCTACCTGGGCCGGCCCGCCGCGGTGGGCAGGGAGAGGGTCTTCCCTGCCCGGAGCGCCTGGACTCGGACTCGGCGGTCCGGCCTCCTCCCGGGTCGCCCTCAGGAGCGTGTGCTTCGCCCTCGGCCCCGCTCCGGAGGTGGGGACCGGCCCGGACTGTGGCGTGGAGGTCGGCGGAGGGCGCGGCTGGGTCCGGGCCCTCGGGTTCTCTCTGACAGAGGTGTTTTCCGCGTCGCACTCCCCAGGTGGGGACCCGCCCGCCGGAGTCGTGAGGGCTGACCCGGAGAGGACGGCCGGCGCGGGCGCGTGTGCGGTCCCCCGGTGGGGTCCTGTCGCCTGAGGCGTCTCCCGGCACGCATGCCTTTTCTTTCTCAAAGTCCCGATAGGTCCGGAGACGTGGATGGACCGGGCCCTGCTCCCGCGGGTGGCCGGGGAGGGCGCGCTCGACCATACAGCGTGCCCTCGTGGGTCTCGGTCGTCGGACGCGACTTTTTCTCACCCCTCCCCAACCTCCCTGAATCCCGGTCAGTCAGGAGGTGGGTGGGGACCGGCTCGAGCCGTCCTGGGTGCCCCGTGTAGGACGGTCTGGGCCCCGGGCGTGGTCCCTGGTCGGGGCCCGCTCGTCTTGTTGGAGGCGCCTCGCTGACGTTGCTTTCTTCTTTTTTTCTTTATGCACATCGAAGCCAAGTCCCCGTTCGGAGACTCGGACGGACCGGTCCGCCTACGCGTGTGGGCGAAGCGGGGAGGGCGTCTCCGGCCAGCTCCCTCTCCCTTGGCGTCCGCGTCCCCACTTTTGCCACCACGCGGCCCCCTCCCTCCCCCCTCCCCTCCCCCCCCCCCCAAGTCGACCAGATGGCCCCCGATAGCTCCAGGCCTGGTGTTCGTGGGGTAGTGCTGGGAACAGGTGGCCGGGTCAAGGTTCCGGGGTCCCTCCCTGCGAGTCGTAGATGGGCCCTGCTGTCGGCTGCTGTCATTGTGTCGCCCGAAATAGGTCTTTTTTGCCACCAGGTAAGTGCTGACACGGTCTGCTTTGGTGTCTGCCGCCGAGAACTTTGGGTCTCTGGATGCACGCGGGGCTCTGGGCCTTTGGGCCGCCAGCCGGCGCCTGATTTGGCCTCTGCCGCTGGAGCCGCCCGCCTGGGCCCTGTGCGCCGGCTCCCGTGTGGTGTGTCTGGCCGACCCGGCTCGTGGTGCCACCTCTGGTCCCAGGGCGGCCCGAGGGCGGTGGGGCGAGGCGGTGTGGGTCTTTGATTTGATTGATGACTCTGCGCTCCCCGCTGCGGGCAGCCGGTGGTGGCTGGGACGACCCCCGCCCTGTAGGCTCCGTGCCACGTGTCAGGCGTTCTCCTCCTGGGGTCGTCGGTCGCCCTCGCCTGAGGTGTGGGGTTGTTGGTGGCGGGGAGGGGGAAGGTTGCCGGAGGTTGCCGGTTGCCAGTGAGGCTTAAAGCGGGCCCTTCTGGTGGCTGTCCTCGCCTGTGCCCTCTCCCCACCCCCACCCCCCCACCTTGGCTCAACTGATTGATGTGGTGTGGTCGTGCTCTCCCGGGCCGGGCCTAAGCCGTGCCGGACGAGGGACGGGCGTTCCCAGTGAACGTGTCCGCTCTTCTCGGTCTGTCCGCGGTGCCCCTCGCCTGTCTTTCCCCCCTTGCCCCTTGGGGAGGGTGAGGAAGGCAGGGGGTGTTGGGGTGAGGCCTCCGGCCCTGACCTTCGGTCTCCCGTCCCCCGCCTTGGGGTGTCTGGTGGGGCCGTTGGTCTTCAGACACAGCAGATGCGCTTGCTTTCGCCTTCCTGGCGTGTTGCCCCGCGAGCGGCCCTCCCCGCGGTGGGGAGGGCTGTGCCGCTGCCACGCCACACGCCCCCGCACGGGTGTGTGAGCGTGCCTTGCTGGACCCTCGGTGGTGCCCCTGGAGTGCTCCAGGTCGTCCCTCAGGTGCCCGAGGCCGAGCGGTGGTGCCGTTTTCCCTTAACCCTGTGTCCTCCTCGGGTCCCCACCACGGTGGTGTGCGTGTGTCCCATGAGTGGCTCTCTCTGGGTGGGAGCGGGTCGAGGCGGTGAGAGAAGCGTTGTGTGCTCCCCTCGTCGCGGAGGCTGACGGATGAGGCCTTGCAGGGGGCGGGGCGCGGGCTCTGCCCCGGCCCTGGCCGCGCACGCGCTCCTGTGCGTGGTCATCTGCTTACCTGTACCGCAGACCCCTCCCGCCCAGTTGAGGACTGGCGGCTCCCGGTGTGCCTCTGTGGGGCCCGAAGGAGAGACGACCGGGTGAGGGACGGCGCGCCCTCGGTGAGAAAGCCTTCTCTAGCGATCTGAGAGGGAGCCTTGGGGTACCGGACCCCCCAGACGCTGCCCCTCCCGAGTGCGCAGTGGCCACCGTGGCGACTGCCAGAGCACGTGGGCAGAAAAGCCCCCCCCTCCCCTCCGTGGGAAGGGGGGGGGGGTGATGGTTGCGCCGGCCCCGCGGTGGGGCCGCGTGCCGCTTGTTGCCTACTGCGGCCTGCGCCTCCCCCCTCCGAGTTGGGGGAGGGTCCCGCTGGGCCCCGCCGGGTGTCTGGTGAGTGGGGGGGGGCCGTGCGTGTGTGCTGTGTGCGCGCGGCCGGCCCCGCGGTGTGAGCCCAGGGGGAAAGGGGGTGGTCGGGGCGCGACGCCCGGTCGGCCCCGGCTCCCCCAGCCCCGCAGCTGTGGTGAGGAGGAGCCTGTCGCGCCCGCCCTCGCCCCCGAGCCACAGCCGGTGGTGGTGTGGTGGGCCCGGTCTGGGCCGCCTCGCTCGAGAGCGTGTCCCCAGGATGTTGAGCCCTCGGGGTCAGACTTGGATGGAAGATGGATCTGTCGTGGATGGACGGACGGACGGACGGATGGAGGAAGGGCTGGCTGGACGGCACGCCGGCCCTGGCGGCGGGGCCGGGGTGTGGGGCCCGCTCCAGGGATTGGCCGGGAACGGCCGGCGTCCCAGGCGTCGCGGGACCGCCCTCGTGCGTGGGTGGCGGTGTGACCCCGCGCTGGTTTTCCTGGTGGCCCGGCTGTGTCCCGGTGTTTCCTGGTCCCCGGGACGGCGCCCTCGCCCCCGTCCCGCAGCCCCTGCTGCGTGTGCTGGCCGGCCCCTCCGCACCGCTGCCGGCCTTCCTCCTCGTCCCGTGCGTGCGGCCGCCTGTGTCCCCTCCCACCCCCGTCCCCCGCGGTCTGGGACCGAGCTGGCCTCGCCTCACGTGGGTGTCGCCTACCGGCCTCTGTCGGCCGGTGGCGTCCCCGGGTGGCGCAGTGCCCTCGGAGCCCTGAGAGGGGGACGGGGCGGGCGGGGGGAAGCCTTTGGCGCACAGCAGGGTTGCGCGTGTGAGGGCTGTGGGGGCCTTGCCGGTACGCGGCGCGAGAGCGTTCTCCCGGGCCGGCTGCGGCTCTGGGTGTAGGTGTGGCGGTGGGCGTGAGGCCCCCGTGAGGGGTGCGCCCCCCCTCCCCCCCGCGGGGGTGGGGTGTGTGGCCGGAGAGGCCAGTCTGTCGTTCTGGGTGTGCCGCG